AGAATTTGCTGGGAAATGTTGGAAATTCCCTCCCCAGTCATTGACACAGCGGGGCCTGGCTTTTCCTGGGGAAAGGGAAATTAAATCAAATTAAACTGAGCAGGGTTAAATGCACAGAGAGGGTTAAATCATGAAAATGAGCAGGGTTAAATAATGAAAATTAGCAGGAATAAATAATGAAAATGAGCAGGATTAAATCATGAAAATGATCAGGACTAAATGATGAAAATAAACAGGATTAAATGCACAGAAAGGATGAAATAAAATGAAAATTATCAGGATTAAATAATGAAAATGAGCAGGATTAAATAAAATTTTAATGAGCAGGATTAAATCATGAAACTGAGCAAGATGAAATGCACAGAAAGGATGAAATAAAATAAAAATGAGCAGGATTAAATAATGAAAATGAGCAGGATTAAATCAAATTTAAATGAGCAGGATTAAATGCACAGGGAGGATGAAATAATGAAAATGAGCAGGATTAAATGCACAGAATGGATTAAATAAAATTAAAATGAGCAGGATTAAATAATGAAAATGAGCAGGATGAAATGATGACAATGAGCAGGATTAAATGCACAGGGAGGATGAAATCAAATGAAAATGATCAGGATTAAATAATGAAAATGAGCAGGATTAAATGATGAAAATAAACAGGATTAAATGCACAGGGAGGATTAAATCAAATTAAAATGAGCAGGATTAAATACACAGAGAGGATGAAATCAAATGAAAATTATCAGGATTAAATAATGAAAATGAGCAGGATTAAATGATGAAAATAAACAGGATTAAATGCACAGAGAGGGTTAAATAAAATTAAAATGAGCAGGATGAAATAATGAAAATGAGCAGGATTAAATCAAATTTAAATGAGCAGGATTAAATGCCCAGAGAGGGTGAAATCAAATTAAAATGAGCAGGATTAAATAAAATGAAAATGAGTAGGATTAAATCATGAAACTGAGCAGGATTAAATGCACAGAGAGGGTTAAATAAAATTAAAATGAGCAGGATTAAATAAAATTTAAATGAGCAAGATTAAATGCCCAGAGAGGATGAAATCAAATTAAAATGAGCAGGATTAAATAAAATTGAAATGAGCAGGATTTCCCCAATTCCTGCAGCCTGTGTGACCCCACAAAAGCAACGGGGGGATTAAATGCACAGAATGGATTAAATCAAATTAAAATGAGCAGGATTAAATCATGAAAATGAGCAGGATTAAATGCACAGGGAGGATTAAATAAAATTAAAATGAGCAGGATTAAATCAAATTTAAATGGGCAGGATTAAATAATGAAACTGAGCAGGATTAAATGCACAGAATGGATTAAATAAAATTAAAATGAGCAGGATGAAATGATGAAAATGAGCAGGATAAAATCAAATTTCCCCGAGCAGGATTCCCAGTTCCTGCAGCCCCTGTGTGACCCCAAATCACCGGGATGGCCC